TGTTGTGTTAAACAGCTGCACCGCGCTTATCTGAAGGTCAGCTCCTCATGCAGGAGTCTGACTGATAACTTGCCGCAGTCGGAGCTGTGAAGGTGACACAAAGCAGAGTGTTTTCTGTATTCAGGATATGAAGGTCAGGGTAGAGACAGCTGATCCTTCATCTCAACATCTCAGCACCGCTACATGCTGTCAGGCCAATGAAACAGGGCGAGAGGAAATGAACAGAAAGAGAGTGAGGCAAGATGACTGGCTATTCATGCAACTGTGCATGTCTCCAAAACAGTAATTAAGAAGCTCTTCTCCCCGCAGAGCAGCTGCTTTGTCCTTGGCCAGTGGGAGACACTTAACAGTTTTTATGGCATTATGCTGCAGATTACCCGATCATGTTCACACTGAAAACAAAGTTTAGACGTCCTCTGAGCTGCACAGGGACGCTGCCCAGTGACGTTACAACACATTTCAGCAGCAAATGAGATTATATGGGCCGTAATATCTTCATCGCAGCATATGACTCTTTGGTAATTATGTAGAGAGATGATACGGTGACCTACCCCGCCACTTAGTATTCAGCGGTCAGAACAAGACTGTAAAGAGTGTTTCTGAGTTGAGGAAACAGTTTGGGTAATAAGCACTTTCACTTTCTTAGATGACAAGATCAAAAGCATATTTACGTCCGTATGAGTGTGGAGCCAGAAATATATTTGCTCAGCTTGTCACAAAGACAGCTTCAGCTGCCTCGGGGAAACAGCTTGAGTCACACAAATATGGCGAACAAAACCTGCAAAGATGACTAATCAACATGTTACACAATATTTCTTTAATGCAAATTTAAACAGTGCGAAAAAAAAATATGTGAAAAATAGAATTTTGTTGTTTTAAAGGGAGTTAGGTGTTAGCAGGGAACTTCAACTGAAACAACCCGTTGTGATGGTTTTACCTGCTTGTGTGTACGGAAATGAAACAAGATACAAACTGTTAATTAATTAGTGAGCTTGTAATCAAAAGTGTGCTTCTAAACTTCTGAAATTAAACTGCAGATTATTTTCTCCATCATTCAGTTTCACTCTAAAGTATCAGAGAAAAGCGAAACGGTGTAAAAACTCAAAGTTAATTCAGTTTTCTGTAAATACGGCAAAGAAATGCTGCAAATATTCATTTTTGTGAAGCACCAATATCGAGCATTTTAGCTGAAGAAATGACTCAAACATATAAATGAATCTAAAAACAGCTGATTAGTTTTCGGTTGATTGACGAATAGAGTTGCAGCTTCATTAAATAGAAACGTCTTGTACAGATCTTAACTCCTGCACCTTCAAGAGTATTTCACAGTGAATCTGTCGTCTGTTTTCCACAAGGACTGTGTTCAGTCGTCCAAACAGCACTCGGACAGAAACCTGAGTGAGGAACATTTAATTCTTTCGTGTCTGTGGTCAACTTGACATGAGTCAGTTGAGGCATTTCATGATGTTGCACATTCAAGTCACTGCATGTCAGAAACACCACCACATATAGTTTTATGCATTTTGAACATTAAGGTTTGACGTGCAGAACATGCCGAGAGCACACGATGAACAGTTTAAACAATCCAACAGTAAATGGAGCAGCCGAGCTGCAATGGAGCAAGTGACAGGAGGACGATACGATAAAAGGGACACCAGGAGATGACAGCGAGAGCAGGACAACATGCTGACAACATCTGCACATCACGAGAAGCATGAAACCTCCACTGTGTGATTCACATCTCACAGTCTGTTGCAGTTTGCACAGATACTGAGGGGAGGATTAACATTACAGGGATGAGATGAGGGTGGATTTTGTTCAAAGGCAAATAAATATTTAATAAAGTAGGGATGGGCGGATGGATCTCCAATGTATCAATACCGAAGCACAAAAGTTTTTCTCTCCATTTCATGATGCAGCGTTGACATTTACATTAATGGCCGCCCTAGTTCAAATTTTACAGGGACATTAAAGTCATTTTGACACTTGCTTTATTAGCCAAATAGCGTCAATATTCATCACATCACTAATAAATTAAGAAAAAAAAACTCATCATGAGCATTTGCTGGGGCAAAGTGAAAGTATCAGTAACAGTGATCTGAAGTTCAGCATCATTTGGTCGGAGATGAAAGCCTACACTTATGGGATCGCCCATCCCTGTCATGCAGAGCCACAACACAGAGACAACAGTGTGCTTGTACCTCTCTCGGTGTATCGGGTACATTTTACAGCTCGCAGACAACTCCTCTGCAGCAGAACAAGAAGAAAGAGGGTCCAAGTTACAGGGTGAAACATACCTGTGGAGCTTATCAGGAGTTACAGTCAAAGGTTTTCCAGCTGATGCGCATTCGTTCATACTGAGGACCGAACCAGTATCAAGCCAAACATTTTCTACACAGAACAGCTGGAGGGAAAATGCTTGAAGTAGCCTAAAGATGGTAAAAACCAATCTGATGTAGGTCAGACATGCTTATGAATTGAAAACCCCCAAAGTAAGAAAACACCAAACTGAATCGCAGCGTTGCCTCGACTGATATGAAAACACAAGAAAAAGACTCAGACTCACTCGAGGCTCACGAAAACAAACGCCAAAATCACAGCTCCACTTAAACATGGTGGCTCTACAGATTTGTCACACTGGAGGCTGTGGAAAGTGGCTCATTAACACGTACTGTATGTAATAATGAGTCAGTCCAGAGGCTCCTGCAAACGCATTTCTTTTTCTTATGCACAGATCATAACTGGCAAACCATTTTCTGCCCCCACATCCACATATTCAGCTGCACACTGTCCACTTTTGATACGATGCATTCAGGCGCTCCTCTTTAACTCAGAATATGACGTGACCACATTGTTGTTACAGGATCATCATGACTACATCTCCATCAAATCACAGGTTGTACTTGTGCAGGCGCCTGCATGGGTTAGATGACAAGGATAAGTGCTTTAAGACAAGCTGCACACAGCATGAAAGAACCTGCGTGACAAACACTCATTTTGTTTATGGACCTGAAGTGGCTCTTAATCGAGATTCTCCTCCTTCTGTCAAGTGTGTGGAGGAGACGCAGGCTGTTTATCAGGAGTTGTCCAGGTTGCTGTCTGAGTGTGCAGGGTGGCCCAGCGACTAAATCCAGGTAACTGAGATCTGCTGCTCACAGACGGCTGAAGCAGAGCTGATGTCTCGTTCGAGCTCTGAAATGGTAAATGCAGTGAACACAGGCCATCAGCCCAGATGTTCGATTGTTTGTTAGTGTCAAAGGACTGATGTTCCCATTATGGTGTTTGCCACTGACATCAGCCGAATGGCGGACGGTCCACTTTAAGCTTTTTATGTCGACATTGTGGCACGATGCCACGCGCTGACTGCCAGCTCCACTTAGTCTGTCATGTTGGCATCAACACATTTCAGAGCTTTCTTTCTGTGCAGTGAGTCTAATAATGTCCATTACATTTGGAATATGACGGAGAAACTAAGGTCACATAGTTTATGTAAACATGCAGTGAACAGCAGAGGTTCAGCAATGACCCACCGGGGATTATTTTCGGTGATTTTTGAAACTAAACTGAGAGACAATTTGCTACCCTCATTGTGAGTTAAAGCCAAATATCACAATTCATGCTGGAATCTCAGTTATTTAGCACTTTGCCGGCTGTAAACTTGATGAATGAATTTTATGAGCGCTGCATGACACCCTGAGCACGCCATTAGTTTCTGTGCAACTCATTTGAGGCTTTAAGGACGTTCCAAGTTCACCTTTACGACCACTCTCCTTTGTGGGGTCCTGCGAATGAGCTGCGATGTAGCTGTTGTTAACATGAAGGCAATAAACAGGTGAACACCAACACTGCTGCATTACTGCTAGTTTTACCACATCTAATACCCCAAAAATATCACCTGGATTCCTCCACACCTTTGTTAAGCTGGAAGCAAACAGAATATAAGACCATAATGGGATATGCACTAATACGTGATCTTTTGATAAGGAAATGTATAGTGGGGCATGTTAACTCAGGCAGCAATGTTCATGTATTTTTATAGTCACAAACCGCAAAAAATGCATCAGTCAAAGTCCATTAAAGACGACAGAGCGCTGATGATCCTGTTCAGTCATTTAAGGAGCAGCTCAATTAAAATGTCACAAAACTGTCCCAGAGGTGGGAGGCTGACAGCACGGACTCTGGTAATGTGAGGAGGGTTCAGGTGTGTTTGAACCATGCTGGAGGCCTGCATGTATAATTCAACACACACACACAAGTACACACACACAAGTACACACACACACACACACACACACAGAGTTAATGAGACTGAGCACAGCATGTCACCAGTAGCCTCCCAAAGCAAACCCACCCAGAATCCCCTGCACAACAATCGGTCTGGAAGTGGTCCAAGATCCCTGTGTGTGTGTGTGTGTGTGTGTGTGTGTGTGGGTGTGTGTGTGTGTGTGTGTGTGTGTAGCTGATACAAATAGAGTAACAGAATAGAGGAAAAGGAAATCACAGTCAGTCTATTAACTGCAAGTGGCATGAATGACCTCTGTTTGTAGGTTTTATCACAAAAGTACCTTAATCAGTTTAAAACAACCCTCCTGTGTGTCAACCAGAGCTTAATGTGACACGATCAGGATCTTTCAGCATCTAACTTCGACCTTCTTGTGGTCGCAGCTGTCATTTAAACGGACGTCAGACTTGATGAAACGAGGTCAGGCCGTGCGGTTCACTAATGAAGGATCCTTCTCTCGGTGATGTCCACCAGGATGTAAACAAAGGAAACAGCAGAGTGTCACGTGTGAACTGAGGATAACATTCTGATCGATTGCTCCTAAAGGCTTCACACGGTGCAGTTTAACCAGATCAAGCAGTCGCGTTCCCCTAAAAGAAACCGCAAGTCGCCACAAAGTTCACTTTTAACCCGTTTTGCATTTCGCTAGCTGACTAAAACACTTCCAGACAGCAGAGAGGAACCGTGTGAAAGACTGAGCCACAAATCTTCAACTTACCCCATGCTCCGAAGATCTGGATGCTGTTTTTGGAACAGATTCCACTCACTTTCTCTTTCTGTTTTTTTCCTTCTGTCTCCACAACGATTCTTTTCTTCCCTGAAATCCTGTCCGTAAGTCACATTGCTAAAAAGAAAAAAGAAAAAAAAAAAGACAAATCACTTCCGACTCCAGATTCCCCTGTTCCCCCTCCAACAGTACTCCTCTCCGCTCAAGTCAGTTGTTGTACTCCAGCCTGTCCGCCTTCCTTTGTCCGCGGGTTTCCACGGCGAGCAACACCGCGGATCTGTCGTCTCCGTGCGTAATTACGCACCGTGAACGTTTGGCTCAGCTCTGCGGGCCGGACAGACGGAAGAATGTCGATGAAAGTCGGGCAGCAGAGTGCTTTTGGCTCCAACCTCCTCCAGGACTTGTACGTTGTGCTCCCCTCCCGCCTCTGTGCCAGATCACACTGGGATCCCATTCAACTATCTCGGTGGGACCGTGAAGCCTCTCCAGCGCCACCTGATGGCCACAGTGCAAACTACAAATTAGTTCCCCCTGATTCCACTCTGCGTTTAAATGTCAGGATGAGTAACATAACATATAGAAATGGCCTGCGGACAGCCTTAAAGCCGCCTCAGTGCGTATTCATGAGGTGCAGTGTTATTACATCTTGATGCATTTGAAAGTACTGTTGGAACAGTCAAGCAGATGGGTTATCCTGCGCTGTCTGTGCTGCTCTCACGCTAAAGCACATGATTTTTAGTATAAAGCTGTTTGTGTAGGGCTTTCTGGCAATCCTGTCTAAACAGCATAATGTAATGAAATCTGGGGGAAAATAATGTTGAATGTTGTTGTTGATGGGATCAAAATATATAAAACTGGAAATCCACCTGTAAATACACAACATTTATTATAATGCTGTTTTACATTAAGCCCGAATTTACAAAGACTTTGTTTATTAAGGGTTTGAGCAACGATTGTATCACCAAATAATCATCTTACTAAAAAAACACACATATTAGGCACAGCAGAAACACTTTATAATTTAAAGCAACACAGAATACACTGATTTTAAGAATGTTAACCATGTTTATATTCATATATTTTCTACTTTTTTTTTATTTGTGTTCATACTTTTGAAAGTCTATTTATGCCATTTGTCTTTTGCTGAAAGACTTCCAACTGCAATTTGGTCATGTGTATGGAAGCATATGCATAATGACAATAAAAAGGATTCTGATTCAGAATAAATACTTCTGCTGCAGAAATATGACAACAGACCTTTGACATATTAATATCACGCATATCACATCACTTTTTGAAAACCAATTTTCCTTTTCAAACCACATGAGATTTTTAATTTCTGTATAAAAGTGACTTAATCTGACGTGTTGCCATAAAAAAGCATTTAAACATACAATAAATAGAGCATGGCCCATTTAATCATAGCACAGAGAATAAAATACCATAAAATGTAATGTTAAGGCAGACCCAGTGGGAAAATCCAAACGTTTTAACAGAACTGCTAATTGGTAAAAAATAATAATAAAATAAAATGTAAAAAATGACAAAAAGCTGGCAGACATTTTATTCATTTATTTCATCTTATTAAAGCTTCACAGATTTCTCTATGAAACCCCTGAGAATCATTTCTGTGTGCTCGGCAAGAATCGCTCTCTACTCCATTAATTCAAACAGGCTTTGGTTTACAGTCCCCACTGATTTAAAAAAATACCATTTATTTGCATGAATATGAGCTGAACATGGGAGAGCGGAGCCTCAAATGTAGTGGAAGAGCAATGGGAGCACTAATCGTGCTGCTCAGTGGCCTGTTACAGCGATGCAGCTGACTGCTCCTCTGTGCTGGAGGGAGGCAGCAGGGAACATCGGATCTCTGCCTTACTTGTAGAAAAAACCCTCGTGCTCGTTTAGAAAGACACTTCTCAGGCAATCTGAGGCAGTTTGCGGCACAGCTGGACGGTCTGGATAGGACGGACCTGAACCTCCGGGCCTTTGCCTTTAACACACAGGGCATTAATCACCTCTGGCAGCCCAGTGTGCAGACACAGATGGGTCTTCTTGGAGAAGATTGCCCTCACTCTCCGGTCAAGCAGCAGCTGAATCAAACTCACAGTGTCTTTTTCACGCTCACTGGGGCAGGTGGGGCAGAAACCTGAAGACCTGCATGATGTGGTAAACAAGGCACTGTACTGGAAATCAAGTTGGAGAAGAAAAGCTGAAAAAGTTGCCATTTTTAAGAAGCTGTCTTGGTAATAATCTCAATCTGAACCTTATTTTGCAAAAGAAAAAGCTGGTAGAAATCACTTACGTAAGATGAAACTGCTCAGTCAAGCATTCTGTAAATTTCCCCAGTAAGGAGTTTTTCTGTCCACGTATTTATCTTTATATAAATCGCTCGCATAATGTTCACCTCTAAAAAGTCGGGGCTCCCTGTATGACCACAGCTCACTGGGGTGTGAAAACTGACCATCAGTGGCAGGAAACCTTGTGAATGAATCTGTCACAGCTGTGGGATAAATTTTCTGTAAAAACATACATATTTAAGTTCAAGTTTACACGCTTTTGGGAAGCTTTGACATCCAAATGATACACGTTGAGCTGAGAAGCAGCCTGACAGAACCTGTGACACTCATCCACCTGCATGTGCTTAACTTGAAGATGTCAGACCAACACATAACCACACCATGTTAGTTTCAAGTGTTTGCAAGTTCAAACTACACATAGATCAACTGAAAACAGCTTCCTGATGAAATCTAAGAAACACTTTGGTCCTTTAAATCTAGGATCAGGAATTAATGTTTCCCGACTGACCCATCATGAACAGCGAGATGTCCGTCTATCTCCTTCCACTGGTTTCATGTTGTGTTAGTTTGTTGTGGTGAATCAAAGCTGCTGAGCAGATCCAGGAAACACAGTACAGGCAGCTGTATCAATACCCAGCTGGAGGCTCTATGATAAAGATCCAGCATCAGTCAGACCGTAACTCCAGTGTAGCTCATCAGGAGAAATAGATGCATGAACAACAAACTGATAGGAAATATGGAGGTTTAATGTGAGGAAAGTGGAACTTTTCCTTGTTTTCTTACTCAGTAAAAATAAGCTCAAAATGATTCTTTGTTTAAAAGGGTAACCAATGGATTTATTTTTTAAAAAGCAGCTTAGAATGGATAAAATGTGGAGAGAAAAATCTAATATAATCTGTATATGTAATATCCAAATCACAGGATGAGGAAAACATTAATGACTCACGAGTTGGTGATTGCCAAGAGTCAGTATTTAGTACAGTTTACACCATAAGAGGGTCGAGCTAACTGACTGAGCTGCTCTGTTTTTAATCAGATCCACTACCAGCGTCATAGAGACCAAACTGGTCATTTATTTTTTGCTCTTTTCGTGTGTGCATGAAAGATGCTATATTAAGTTTATGATTTTTATAATGCAAGAAGTAATGACAGTCACGTGTTTCATTATTTCCCTTTTCCCATTGGGATTTACAGTGAATTATTTTGGCTCTGAAAATGAAAAACTGATTTTTACAGTGGAGCCCTAATGACTGGACAGGAAATCTCAAAGTTAGATTTTTTTTTCATTCCTAAAGATACAAAAACACATGTTGAATATATATAAGAAAAAGCGGAAAAAAAAAATTCTTATGCGTGCTCGCGGCTCTAAGGCTTTGATCAAATCTGAAACTGCCTCAGGCTTCGTTATTACAGCTCAGGCCTGTCAAAGAGTCAATATGAGTCCGTCTGAACAGCAAGAAAGCTCAGAGAGCTGGAAAAAAGCTCACGGTTTAAGTTTAAAGGATTACATCCATACAGAGCAGCTGGAGGCTGTAAACACGCTTAAACACACCTCAGTCACCTTATGATGATAAAAAGAAGAATAAAGGTCACAAACAATTGACAAATAATGTCAAATTTCACAAGATACATCTCAAATTAGTACAAATATAAACTCAAATAATATATTAGAAATAATATCCACAGAAATTATAGATGTGACGTCTGTGACAGATTTTTTTGCACCTTGGTGGTTATTAATCACACAGACCATGAAATAAACAACTTTACACAATTAGACTCTTTCTCCCATGTGGAGAAAATAAAATGTGTTTATTGATCTGAAATGCTGTCTCACTTCATCACTGTGCTCTGAATTTCCAACAGGAGAACAGCTGAAAGGTCATTTCATGGTTAAAGAAAAGACGAAGAAGGGAAAAAAGATCATAAAAATAAATAAGAAAGAACTGAAATATTAAAAAATACAATAAAAAGATATACAAGTATGTTTTTAGGAGCTGTTGTTTTTTCACCTCTGCTGGTCTAATGAATTATATCATGATCCATGTAGATTTATCAGTGTGGAATCAGGGAATGAATGACTTCAAACCAAACTGACAAACTGTGTGCAGACATGAGGATCTAATTATATGATATTTTTTGAGCTCACAATTTTCTGTTCACCTTTTTAATTATAAAAATCCGGCCATGAAGAAAAACATTTACCTGCTTTGATTTGAGTCCTTCAGTACTGAAGCACAGACGAAGCAGCAGATCTAGAGCGGGGGCGCTGACAGTTTGGCCGATTGATGGGAAATAGTGTGAGATTTATCTGTGTCTGGTGTTATACCAAAATCTGTGGCCTATCAGCTTCTGTAGCGCTGAGCACAAAGATTACCAACTGGGCAAAGCTGGCAAGACCCTCAGGAGCCTCAAAAGCCCCCTGAGTGGACAAGTTTGTTTTTCAGTATTTACCACTAAATTAAAATGAGGTCAAGAGGTCCTGTGTTGTTACTTAATTCTGAGAAATCATCTTATAAAAGGGCTCAAGGTCCTGCAGTTAAATTATTAAAGTACAAGTCCTGGTTTTGTCCCTTGACTGATACATTATTCTATCAGGCATCATTAGATTAATAAGAGAGAAGCATCCGTGTGTCAGCAGCAGGTTACTGTAGGAGATGCTGCAGGTGGAGCCAGTTTGACTACTTTACAGTTTCATATTCAGGGACAGCTGATAAGCCTAAAGGCTCATCACATGACTAATAGGGAAGAAAGAAAAAACAAAATTCTCATACAAAAGTCTGTTCTCAGTTTTTGGACTTTTTGTTGTCTTAAAAGTTTTCTTTCTGGTCTCATCTACCTTTTTTTTAAAACCTCTGGTTTTATTTTAGGCTGCAAGGTGACGTGGTGGTTTGCACCGTCGCCTAAAAGACAAGTCCAGTGGTGCAAAATACAAAAATTTGAATTCTAAGTTGAATGAACTTAAAGTCATTTACAGTGCAGCATTCTTCCTGCAGGTCCAGCTTCAGCCTGTTCACCCATAGACTGTACAGTCTATGTGTTCACCACACATCGACAGGAGAGGCGAGATTTCTCCTGAACGAACACGTTGCTGA